CTTCGTGCTGAGCCTCCAGACTCTGTTTTATTCTACTTTCTTTGTCTGTGCATGTATTTTATTTTCCCTTCCGCTCAAAGTTTAGTTCCTTTCTTCAGTCCCCCGCCGCAGGGGATGACTATTCTTCCACTATCCTCACATTATTCCCTAAAGATTCTAGCTGCCTGAGTAAGGATGTGCATGGGTATTGGCTGCCATCCTCTCCCTTTGTAAGATGTGTCTCTTTCATCTATGTAGATAAAACATCGTCCTCTGCTTAGCATCCAATATAATACTTCACTCGAGCTCTTTTAGAAGACACAAATAATGTTATAAATAGTCCCATAGGTCAGAGACTGTCAACAGGGTGTCAACATTCCTAGAGAAATATTTTGGAAATTAATGAGGGCTCTTGAGAGTGTTATAATGAAAAAGGTGCAATTAGCTCCAACAAAGTGGGGAGGGCATAGACGCTATGTGCTCTCTAGTACAGTAGACAGTTCCAAATAATGATAAATGATCCCATGTCCCAGCAGACATTCAAGTGAGTGGGAAACGTTATATTTTTCTGAACCCACAAGCTCCACTCTGCATGTGAACATAACTTTTACTAACCCTTGTTTTTTTTTTTTAAAGAATACAAATGCCCATAAATAAAGAGAAGGTGTGTCTTCATTATTTTGGAGAATCACCTATGTCAGTCAGGCCATGATTCTGAAACCTCCTACACAACACTTTGACAATATTTGTACCTGCTTCAATCCAGCATCCAATTTCTTCACTTTATGTTCCAGTGCATCATGCCCAACTGTATACATGTTGAAACATACAGTATTTTATTTTAAATTGTGTTCCTTGTAATTTTTTTATGGAATTACAATTGCAATTAAACTGTTACATTCATTATGTTAATTTTCTTTTTTGAATTCTATGTGTATAAATTAACTGCCACCACTTTCCTTTTTAAGTAAAAGATAATAAGAGGAAATATTTCAGGGTTCTTGAGCCAAATGACTTCTCTTACAGCTTTTTAGACATGGTACTGCCAAAGAAAGGAACTGGTGGGTAAAGTGTAAGCAAAATGAACATAGTGACCCAAAAAGATTTGTGAACATTGAAGTTTAAATTTTATATAATTTTCACATCACAAGTTATTGCTATGGTTTGGTGTTTTTTTTTTCAAGCACTTAAAAGTACAAAAACATGCCGGGCGGTGGTGGCGCACGCCTTTAATCCCAGCACTCGGGAGGCAGAGGCAGGTGGAGCTCTGTGAGTTCGAGGCCAGCCTGGACTGCCAAGTGAGTTCCAGGAAAGGCGCAAAGCTACACAGAGAAACCCTGTCTTGAAAAACCAAAAAAAAAAAAAAAAAAGTACAAAAACATTCTTGGTTCTTGATCCCTGTACATGTCTTCCTGGTCAGAGCTAGTCTGCTGATCTATGCTTTATAGTGTGTTATATACAAGCTTTATGGACTGAAACAGTATTATGATCAATTGTATTTCTTTAATTCCTTGATTATGATATAGTTAAGGTTTTATGTTGAACTTTTAAAATGCGTGCAAATACTCTAATAGAAAGTTGGGGATACTATACTAGATTGGAGATCACATCAGTACCTCAGTCAACCCTCCTCAGAGAAGATTCTTCTTGCAGTAGATGGGAAATAAAACAAAGGCACACAGCTGGAAAATGTGCAGAGAGTGGAAGGCTTTGGAGCACTTGGTCCTAAAGAAGGTTCTTCCTCAAATCCCTCCCCTCAAAGCTCAGGGATCTATGAGGAAGAGGAGGTGGAAATATTTAAAAGCCAGAAGTTATGATGACTCCAAGGAAACAGTGTCTTCTGCATACAACAGGACTGATGCACATATGAATTGACAAGAGACATGCAGAAGACTTGCACAGGTTTAAGGCAGATGGGGTCCCAGCCCTGAGAGGGTGAAGTGGACACAGGGTCCTACCCCTAAAAGAAACTGTTTGCTATTGATATCTGTTGGCAAATGGAAAATCAGTTTTCTCAAATGGAGTGCCCCTGGGGATATCCACCACACTCCATGACAGGCCCCATGGTCATAATTTGCCAACACAAAATTAACTTTGTGTTTTTGTTTTTGTTTATTGTGAGCTATTTTTTGTTGTTGTTGTTTGTTTGTTTGTTTGTAAGTATATCAGTCCTGTTGTATTCCAAAGACACTGTTTCCTTGGAGTCATTGGTAACTTCTGGCTCTTAAAATCTTTCCACCTCTTCATCATAGATCCCTAAACTTTGAGGGGAGGGATTTGATGAAGACATCTCATTTAGGACTGAGTGCTCCAAGTCTTTCACTCTCTGAACATTATTCAGTTCTCTCTCTCTCTCTGTCTCTCTGTCTCTCTGTCTCTCTCTGTGTGTATGTCTGTCTCTGTGTGTGTGTATGTCTGTCTTTCTGTCTGTCTGTCTCTCTCTCTCTGTCTCTCTCTGTGTCTCTCTCTCTGTCTCTGTCTCTGTCTCTGTCTCTCTCTCTGTGTCTGTCTGTCTGTCTGTCTCTCTCTCTCTCTCTCTCTCTGTGTCTCTCTGTGTCTCTCTCTGTCTCTCTCTGTCTCTCTCTCTCTCTCTCTCTGTGTGTGTGTGTGTGTGTGTGTGTGTGTGTGTGTGTGTGTGTGTGTGTTGGTCTTACTTGTTTTTGTTGCTTTTGCTTTTGCTTTCTCTTTTTATGTTTGTTTGTTTATGACAGAGATAGAGAACATAAAGTTGGGTGGGTAGGGAGGTGGGAAGAATCTCAGAAGATCTGAGAGAGGGACAAAGACATCAAAATATATACTATAAAACAATTCTTGTTGATATATATAGCATATATATTGCAGCTCGAGGCTTGAGAGATGACTTGGTGGTTAAGAGTGCTTACAGTTTTTCCAGAGTATGTGAGTTCAGTTCCCAGCACATACATCAGGTATCTCACATCCACCTATAACTCTAACTTCACGGGCTCTGATGCCCTCTTCTGGCTTCTATGGTCAAACACATAGGTGTCATACATTCATACAGAAAGATATAAATTAAAAATAAATTTGCAGAGTATCTTGGTAAAAAAGATAAATAAAACACAAATTGTTAAGTCTACCTCATGGATCCTCATTTAAATGATGACACATATCCAAGACAATCCCTATCAACAGGCTCTCAGAGTAAACAAAGAAGGTTATGGATTTTATTTACATTCTCAGTAGTTTTGATATGATAAAGCACTTGTGAGTTTTGATAAGACTGGGAAATTCCTGTCTGAGATAAGGAAAACTTTCCTGAATTATCTCTGATGCAAAGCTGGTAGATTAAGTTCAAGTCCAATTACTTTCAAGCTGGTGAAAATGCACGTCTTTTCCAGGCCTACAGGATGAACAGGGTCTGGATTGAGTTGCATTTAGTAAAATATTAAGGTTTGGGTTTGATCTGTTTTGATAGGTCATATTATCTGTGAATTATATTTAATCAGCACCCAGCTAAGTGTTACAAAGTGTTAAAAAAAGAAAAAAAATCATTAGTCTTGACTGCATTATGTATCCTCTATATTCATACCATGAATTACTAAGTCTTTGGAAACTCCTCTTGCTCCTGTGGCAGTGACCCATCAATGTATTGAGGAAGAAAAGGAAGGCGTAGCTACCATGCAGTTCCAATGCTCATAGAACGAAACATCAAAATGCTTTCTGAATTCTAACCCAACTTTCTCTAGCTCAGAGGTATGGTCTTTGTCCACCCACTTAGTGATTTCTCGATCAGTTCTCTGGAGCTGCTCATGCCTTCAGGAACTTCAAGTACAAAGGAAACATCTGGAGTCTGTAACACATGGGAATTCAGAGTACCAGGAAACCCACTGCATGTTGCTGCATCCACTCCCCAGACTTGTGCCGAGACACTTGTAGCTGATGCCATTCCAGACCTTCCAATCAATTCTTTGTCCCTCTTCGGTGTGTTTCTAAAGTCCTGAACCCCACTGTCAGTTTCAGGTTGGACTTCTCTTTCATTTGTCTTCTGTCAATAACTATCCTTCAACTGTGGTACTACCAGCTGCAAGGTTCCAGTCTCGCAGGCAGAGAAAAACATTATAAGTGCATCCAGAACCCAGAGGGATTTAGCAAGTCCCTTGTCTACACAAATCCTTGTTTTCAAGCCCGGAGTCCTGTGCCTATCTTTTGTAACACATCTCAAAAGCTGGGATTTTGAAAAGGGAGGTTGAGTAAAACTAAGACAATAAATAAAGGCTTAATGTTTGGTTTAGTCCAAACAAATTACAAGTTTGGTTGCATCTGAGTCTTCTTCAGTATAACTGACAACTGAAAAATGAATGCAGTTTAATAAAAACAAGGGCACAGTTATACATACTCTTTGAGATTTGTATGCACGAGTCCACCAACAAGTGGTGTAGGGGGTGGGGAGGTGTGCATCTGTGTCTGTATGTGTGTAGAAGTCAAGAAAATAAGCCAATACATAATCACTGTCTCTTTACTGCCATAAAAAAAAATCCAAATACCTTGAGAACTTACCCAAAGGTTCTAGCAGAAAAGCACAGCTACTCCTTATACCTTTGAACTAAGAATACAGGTCCTCCTGTGTTTGGGGGAGGTCATCCTATTCAACTGAGTGTGCAGCTTTAGGAAACACTCATACTGAGTTTGGGGGATTTTTGTTGTTGTTATTATTTTTCTTGTTGATTTTTTTTTGAGAGAGAGAACGTGAAGTTGGAGGATGGCATAGAGGATCTGGAAGGAGTTGGGGAAGAGAAAAGAAGATGATCAAAATATATTGTTTGAAACAAAACCTTTTAAATAAAAAATTTTAAATATCCAAATGACTGTAAAAAAAACTATGACAAGAAATTTACATGCTAATGGTGCATTTGAAGGGGGAAAAAAGGGGAGGCTTCTTAAGGACTGTGGCTTTGAAGTAGTAAAAGGTGATGTCATGGATAGTTACTATTTTTGCTTTACAGCTGGAACACGGCTCCTGTGCTGCATCTTAATCTACCTCCTTGTTGTTTCTCCTTTAGCTCAACAGAATTCACCAAAAATCCATGAAGGCTGGTGGGCATACAAGGAGGTGGTCCAAGGAAGCTTTGTTCCAGGTAAATACACATCTATTTTTATCACTTTGCTCCTCAAACATTTTTAAGGAGATAGAAATACTCAACACCCCATTCATCAGTTTATCACACACTACTCCTCATACCCCTATGTATTAGTAAAATGATAATTTAAAAAAAAACAGAATTTGGATGAACACCGGTGTTATTTCTACGATGTCACATTGGCTACATGGCCTGAAATGTATGGTAAAAGTCAAAAGAGTCTATAACTCAAGTATTGGAAGAGTATTACATTAAGGGAAGATTTATTTTGTGAGCAGCAACCTTTACATAATATATTGTTTTTCTGTGTAAGCCTGTAATCCTCAATAGGCATCTCCTCTAAAGAGGGGGAGGATTGAAGACTGAGAGCGGAGGCTGTCTGCCCACACTTGGTTAAATGAGGAAGGACTGTTCTTAACATTAATGAAACAGGAAATTTGAACAGACTGACCACGGCAACGAAGCTCGCTGGGATGCATGCTGTCACTGATGTCACTACAGCAGCATCCATGCTCAAGACTCGGCAGATCAAGCCAAGCATCATCTAAAAATAACAGGTCATGTGTGGACACTGTCAGCATGTGGGCAGTGGACTGAGAACCAAAGGCAGGCTATAGCCAGAAACACACCGTGACTTGAGTTGAGAAGGAGAGCAGAGGGCCCTGTCTCTCCCACTTCCCTTACTTGTAATGATCCTATTCTCTATATAATAGGTGGAATTAATAACCTGGTATTAACTGTAAAAACCATAAACCATCCCACAAGACATCAGAAGAGAGAGAAGCAAAAGAAAGAGCAAGCATTTAAAGGGAAAAAGGCATGGATGGGCAACATATCCCACGGTATTTTTAACTTATTAGATGTGAGAGAGACAGAAAGGAAACTCTCAAGGGCTTCAGTGTATGGTCCCACTCACCCTTGGTGCTCAGAACAGAAGATTAAAAGAACCAGCTGAGGGTGCCGAACTTGGTGACAGGTAAAATGTGCTGTGTCCCAGGTCATCTGATTCATTCTTGACTGTTCCATCTTTTTGCCTTTCTATTTCTTTTGTAGAGCTTTTCATATAAGCTGGACAAAAAGAAGGTGCTTGTAAAATTCCTTTAAGCATCTCTGTTTTCATTTCTGTCATGGAACAACAATAAGTATTGCTGGGGCTGTTTCATTGGAGGAAGACACTCATGGTAAAAGGCGGGGGGAGGGGTGACTCAGGAAAAAGCCACTTGGCTGCTAGAGAGTTTCAGAGGTCTACATCCCTAACTAATGCAGCACATGGTGCATTGTTCTTTAGCCCAGTGTGCACAGAGACTGAATTTAATTCACCCACAAGTGGCCAGGTTTCTAATAGCAATCATGAAAGTTACATGCACTATGTCTATTTCAATAGGTATAGATATCTGTCATTTGATATTTATAGTTGGTGGAATCCTTCTCTATGATATAAAAGATTTGTATTTTGTCAAGAGAAACTTTTTATACTCATGATAGCTCAGAAATTCTATTAACCACTATATTCTTTGTACCTGTGAGTATGGGATTAGAAAAACCAAAGAGAGTCCCTCATTTCTAAATTACTTCTACCTCTGTAGAGAGCACCTGTGGTTACTGACTTGCCCTTAGATAGCAATGTGTGGTTCTGTAACATTTTGCCTCTCTACCTTATACTATTTGTTTTGGTTTCTTATATCCTCTTTATATATGTCCAAAGCCCTGGTTTGACTTGTTTTATGCGTTAGAGGCAACCATGGGTAAGAACTTTCATCCTAACCTGGATGCTGACTGAGAGTGTTACTTTTTCTTCATTTCCAGCCTGGTTTGCATACAAGTTGTGTCTATAGAATTTGTGTTGGAGAGAAACACATAAAGGCCACAGCAGTGGCAAGTGAAAGGTTAATTTGGTGCCAGAATGTCCTACTTTGGCCAGTTTGGGTGTCATTTATGCAATACTTCCCTGATGCAGAGCACCTTGTTTGGGGGTAAGGAAGAGGAACTGGCACATAGCTCTTACTCAAACTGAACTCACCTTCTAAAGATAGACCATAAAGGCATGGCTCCAGAGAACCAGTGCTGTCGCAAGGCTGATAATGGTGTAGAGTTATCATGATTCTGCCTGTGTAGAGTGTATCAGAATTTCTTGTTGACCAGCTCAATACATGCCTTCCACTAGCCTCACCCTCAGCAGGCTCTGCTTTGCAGGCAAATCCCAGGTTTTGTTTGGCTGTTCACCCTCCACACAGCTAACATCTATCACAACAATGGTGAGTTCCTTCTTCTTTTATTGCCAGAAACATTGTAATGACTAGTTTACGTAATGGCTAAAGCATGCTACCAGACATTTGGTCAGAAACCTCTCTCTCTTTCTTTCTTTCTTTTTCTTTCTTTCTTTCTTTCTTTCTTTCTTTCTTTCTTTCTTTCTTTCTTTCTTTCTTTCTTTCTTTCTTCCTCTCTCTCTCTCTCTCTCTCTCTCTCTCTCTCTCTCTCTCTCTCTCTCTCTCTCTCTCTCTCTCTCCTCCCATATCCTTCCTTTCCCTATTTCATTAGTTCTCTTTCTCTGGACAACCGACGGACACCACACACATACACACACACACACACACACACACACACACACACACACACACACACACACACACAAAGTGATTAGTGGTTCTGTCCATGGCATGGTGTGAAAGGAAGTCTGCTGAATAAGCTTGAATACTAAAACCACACTGAAGACAGCTTAATGGAAATATAGGAGGATCCTTCTTATTATTTAAGCCATTTTCTTACTATACTGTGTGCACATGTGTGTGTGTGTGTGTGTGTGTGTGTGTGTGTGTGTGTGTGTGTGTGTGAGAGAGAGAGAGAGAGAGAGAGAGAGAGAGAGAGAGAGAGAGAGAGAGAGAGAGACAGAATATGTATGTTGGACACACACATGCTATGTGATGCCTATGTGGAAGACAAAGAAAAATTTTAGAAGTTGGTTCCCTCTTTCCACCATAGTTTCTGGGGTTTGAGCTTAGATTGTCATGTTTGTGAGCAAGTACTTTTGCCTGCTAAGCAATCTTGCTTGACCCAGTAATACCCTTTTATGGACCACCTGAAGGTTTAATTAACCATGGAACTACCTCACCACTCATCTTGTTCAGTGAGATTATAAACTTCTTTACTCGCTCTCTGTTATTTTCTGTTCAAAATAGTTTTCCAGATTCAGGTGTCCAAGGCTGAAGGAGAGAAGGATGCTAGGATCTCAGTATTTCTCAGGGGGATAAGGAGGACAACATGAAGACTATCAGTACAGACAAAGAAGAGTGAGATCTACACTGTCTTAGAGTGGTAGATTCTGCCTCTCTAAAACTCAGAACCTAGGAAGAACTAGTGAAGAGGTCAGCACACATGGTTTATACAGGCCAAAGCAAAGTACTTTTGTTCAGTGCATAGGGCTTCAGGCATCTCTGAAGGGGGAAGAATGTTAATATATTTCTAAGCAGTGAAAGACTAATCAAAATGGGATTCTGGAAAACTAGCTATGGTTCCTGTGGTAGAAGTCAACTACATTCCACTGAAGATAAGAGACAGACACAAGTATTGTTTTAATCAAACATTTTAATACAGATGACAAACTTCTAGAAAAAAAAACTATAAAACAAGACTATGGATCCCTACAACATCCATAATGAAATGTTGATGGTATCAAACTATAGGCAGTTAAAGGTTATTGGGGGAAGGGGATGTCATTTTCTTCAATGGGGTGGCCACAGAGAAGTTGCACAGCTGTACTCAGTAACCTCGCGAGGAACTCTTGTTAAGCTCAGTGAGCCACACACAAAAGGAAGATAAAAAGTAGGAGAGAGACTTGATGAGAAGAAGGGCTCCAGTGAGAGGGGGAGGGGATGAGGAGAAGAATTGTGGGGGGGCATAAATGACTAAACTTCATTGCATAAATGTGTGAAACTGTTAAATAAGAACAAAATAAATAAAATATATATGTTCACACACATAAAAAAACCATTAGATTAATTATGCTGAGGAATTAGCAGAAAGTTTGTTCAGTACCATTTAAATTTTATTTATTAAATAATAAAAATGTGTTATAAATATATCAGATATATATAACACATTTTTAATTTAATGTAAATACACACATGTCTTTAACATACTTCTAGAATATGTGCCAAATACTATCTATTCATGTTCTACTTACGTTAAAAAAAAAAATGATCATCTTCCCTAGGAGGAGACATTGTACTATGGAATGTTATGGCATAAAGAGATGATGTATAACTTCTGGGGCTTGCAATGTAGTAGGGGAGTCACTTGCTAAAAATAATATACAGCCACTGGACATCCCGATATCTGCTTCATGTGATAAGGTTCACAAGGGAAGTCTCTTTTCAGCCTAAAACAAAATCTGGGCTTGCTTCTCTTCTAAAGCTGTGAATCACAACCCATGGATTACGTATTTTCCTAAACTTATGAAGCTCTAGAGAAGGTGAAAACCCCTCTTAGAGGAGTCTGTCACCTGCTAAGGCTCACTCCAGGACACTAGGTCTGAGTCCCTCAGCACATCATTGATCCAGGATGACCTCCCTCAAAAAAGTTATTATTTGGCCCTGAGATACGATTCTAAAGAGCTTACCCTGGCCTCAATCTCTGGAGGCAGTGAGAGAAAGACAGATAAATGTCTGCTATCTTACAATATTTCCAAGACCCCTCTGAAAAGTGTTTGGGAGTTACTAACTTTAAGAAGGAAAGGGGGACATCCCAGGGGAGGCACAGCCCTGAGGATCAGGAGCACTCAACAGAGGAGGAAGAGAAACGGAATTTTAGAATGAGAAGAAAGAGGGGCAATGGCCTGAAAGCCTTGAAAGGTGTGTGGCTCAGTAGAGCAAGAAGAGCTCTGGGAATTAATACTAAGGAGCAGCAAAGGTCTGATGATGAAGTGATGTACCGATTGATACTCTAGACATCCTGAAGGCCCTGAAGATACAGGGAAGAGGTTGACAGTATTACAGAGTTGA